CGTGTCAAGATTAGAAGAATTTTTAAAAAGGCAAATATAAAGTTCCTGGCAATGCGGAGGCTGAAGGCTGTGGGAGCAAACATGGCCGGCCATGTTAGTCCCACATGTGCAGTCGCTGCTGTGAGTCCTTCCCAATCCTGTGAGTATCTGCGACATGAAAACCCCAACCCTTGAGGGTAGGAAGAGAAAAGGTGCAAGTCAGCAAAGTGAGCCCCAGGGTAATCAACCTCCCTGGTGTTTTCGTGGCAGCCTGTGGCTACCAGACACCTCCTGCTTGGGAAGACAGGTAGGAAAAGGCGCTGGCAAATACACTCAACTCCAGGGAGAAAACACCTTCACTTCAGAGATGCTCTCCAGTGATCCTCTGTGAATATTCTCCATGGTTCTCACTTCTTGCACTTCCTGAACCAACTAAGATCCTGTTTGTGTGGCACGGTGACCAAGAATCTCTCTTGATTTCCTAGTGAGTTCTGTAGGTCTTCCCTTTGCTATGCCCCACATTGAAAAAGAACACAGCAAGAGGGATGTGACTGTTTGCCATGATTGTCAATTTGACTGAAGAGGTGACTAGCAGATTAATAAAGCAGCTTCTGAGTGTGTCTATGGGGGTGTTTCCAGAGATCATCGACATGTAGGCCAGCAAAGTGAGGCACAGAGACTTGTGGTTGGCACCAACCAATGGGCTTCCAATGTGGATGGAAGGAAAGAAAAGAGGAAGGAAGCCTGTGTTTGAAAACCTCCATTATGCTTGGGCAGGCTTGGCTTTTGCTACTCCTCTTGTGGGACCAGAATGACTCCATTTTGTCCAAAATGGAGCAGTCTCCTTTGTTCTCTCAAATTTGTGCTTGATCTGGGACAAAAGACATGATCTGTAACTCAAGATTCCTAAGCTCATTACTCAGCCATCTGTTTGCCCTAGAAACAAGTGTCCCAGGCCCACTATCTATAGGACAATCTGTTAATGTGCTGACTATCCACACAAGGTGGTCATGACCATGAGTCAAGATGTCTGCTGACCATCAGTACGTGACAGTAGACCACTAACCTTTGTCCCCATTTTTCT